ATCCTCTTCGAGCTATGCTTACCCCTATGTAATATCTTCACCCTCTTTCCGTCCGGCGTCGCTGATTATGCAGCCTTACTCACATGATCTAGATTCACTACGTCAGTCGACAGCAGAGTGACGTTTCGTGCGCATCCTCCTCTCATGCGTTCGCATCAGCCTTCTTGGCCTGTGCTACCTTCTCATCAACCCGTCTCTCTGCCACTCTTCTTCTGACCGTTCTTTCTTGCCCGTCCCACACTCCCCACCCTAACAACACCTCCCCTCGCCCCCGGAGGGGGCGGGGCCGGGTGGTAGGGCGGTGCGCGCAGCGCCGCGGTGGGTGTGTCGGAGGGGGCGGGGCCGGATGAGAGGGCGGTGCGCGCAGGCCGCGGTGGGCGTGTCCGAGGGGGCGGGGCCGGGTGGGAGGACGAGGCGCACAGGCCGCGGTGGGCGTGTCGGGGGCGGAGCGCTGGGGGCAGAGCCACACGAGGGCGCTGGGGGCCGGTATCTGCCAGCCAGTGCATGCGGACCCTGGGGGACGTGGTGCATTGCCCACAGGAAAACCAGGTGGGTCGCTTCTCGGGCGGTGACTACGTTGGAGACATCTGTGTGTTCCTGCTCAACTCCCCACATTAACCTAGCAGCCCCGTAGACCCCACATTTTCCCAAGAAACCTGTTAAAATGAGATATGCAGTCCATTTGGGGCATTTATCAGACATTGGTTTGGGTTTGCTGTCTTCGTATTCGTGACGCGAATAAGTATTTGTCATTGCACATAAGGGCCTGCAGTTTCTACCCTGCATATTCCGGGGTCCCTAGCACAGAGTAGGTCTCCAACTTTTGATCCTATGGAGGCGGAGGCACATAGCTGAACACAGAGGGTTACTTGGCAGTGTTTTCACGTTGTAACAAAGTATCTACCAACATAGGCAACTCCTGCCTTAAAAACAGACAAAACACTAATAGGTCATGTGGCAAGTTAGATGAGACCCGGAAAACAAACACTAACCTGTCTTTTCCAACTGTAAATGGAACAATTTGAAAAGTGAAATGTTAGTATATATTAGAATAGACAAGAGCGCGTCACAGAGGAGGTGGGATTTGAGACTTTCCCACCAAAGGATGAACAAAGGCCACGAACAAAGAAAACAGTGGAAATGGCACGGACCAACCAGAGGGAGCAGGTTGGGGCACAGGTGAAGGTAAGATGGAATGAAGGCTGGACAGACAAGGAGCATGTCGTTTAAATGCAGTGGCTGCAGAAACCATCGAGGCCCCAGGCAGAGCGTGCAATCTGTCTGGCAGTGGCGTTGAGACGGATGAGATGGGGAGGGGCCACCAGGGAGGAGTCAGCTGGACATGCCTTTTAACACACTTCAGAGGATTGTAACGGAAAAGGTGAATTTATTTAGGGATCTTTATATTTTTATTGATTTCAGAGAGGAAGGGAGAGGGAGAGATGAAAACATCAATGATGGGAATCATTGGTCAGCTGCCTCCTGCACGCCCCACACTGGAGATGGAGCCAGCAACCCAGGGCATGTGCCCTGACCGGGAATCAACCATGACCTCCTGGTTGATAGGTCGGGCCTAAAAAGGTAAATGTAGACTGGTGTCTTTACCATTCAAATAATTGCACTGGGGCAAATGATACATTGAGTGGTGCCTGAGAAGATAGTTGAAAGTGTTCTAGAAACAGTGGATCTACTATGAAATTTTTCCCATCGTGGACATATTTGAAACCATGTGACATTCAATGTCAAAACGTCACATCTGGATCTAAGAAAGTACTTGAAATTATTTCACATGGTTTGAAACATGCCCATCCAACTTGGATTGCAGTATCAGGTGAAGTTAAAGCAACACACACACACACACACACACACACATAATATGGGGAAATTTTCTTCATTTTTAATTTACAGCAGAAAGAATATAAAGCATTCAGAAAACATTTTCCATATTTTTAAGGGCAATTCAAAACATTTTGCATGGTTTCCAGCAGCTGAGTTCTTCAACAGATCCATTGATTCAATGATGCTTTACATGCACAATTACAAAAATAAAACTTACAAAAAAGAAGACATCTAGACTAGTTTTACATGCAAGTCTCAGGGACCCCCCATTGGGCGCCAACTACTGTGTGGAACTGCCATAAGCGACCGTGCAGCCGGAAAGGGGTTCGAGTTAGTGTCTTTATTTCGTTCACACAGTACAGCTGATTTCAAATGGGTAACAAGAAGAGCAATGAAATCTTCAGGAGACAGAATAAGATTAGCTATTAACTTTTATAATGAAGTCCTACTCCTGGCACTTGGGAATTCAGATTATCCAAGAAAGCTGCGCTTACCTATCATCTTATATTCAAAATTAAGATTCATAACCGAGGAAAAGCGGTCAGAAGTGCTTCGTGTCGGTGGGAGCGTACGGGTACCTCCCCTAGATTCACAGTTGTACTGCTACTTCCTGTCCCCTCCGCGAGAACCCTCCTAATTCTACATCAGTCTTTCTCTTCCCGAATTGTCTAACTCACTCAGCGAATAATGTAGCATGTGGAACATGAACAAAATAAGTGTGAGGGTTAAAGCAAACCCACTGAGGTCATTACTCTTGTCAAAAGATCAGTTATTTGTACCAGAATAAATGGAATAAACATCTAAATTCGGCATTAAGACAGGATATTCTGAGAGAGCTGGCTTTTACGTTCTATTCCCACTTAGGAATGCAATTGTGTGTGTGTGTGTAAATGACTGTGTCCTCCTGTAGGTTAAACTGTAAAATAAAAGGGATCGTGGGTGGGGTGTGGGGTGTGGGGGGGACTGCAACAGCTGTAACATAACCCACACATTTAAAATAACAAAATTGAGTCAGCTCAGTTTACAAATGTACAGATGGCTACTAGTTGTGGGGCTGTCACTGTGGTCGAAGCTGATCACAAGCAGTAAGATGTATACTGTACAGTAATTTGAGGTTGGCAGTGAAAGGAATTAAAAAACAAGTACAATTATAGAAAAGGCACCAAGAGCACTGACCCCAGTGTGTACCTCGATCCTGTTGTGTCTACCTTCCTTCTGAAAAGACACCAGTTTAAAAGCTTATTTGTGAATATTTTTAGGCTTCACAACGAGCCTTGAGTTTTAACTTACAGTTGGCAGCCAGAACCAAGAAAAAAACAACACACACACACACTATTATTTCAGCTTTACACCAACTGGTCCTGAAACGTAACCTGGGAATTTTTAAACTGGCATCAGCAGATGCGAACTGGATTCTCCTCGATTGGACGTTAGTAGTTGAATGTTTAAAAGCATCAGATTTCTTTGGCTCCTCGTTCTGTGAAAATAGTCATATGCCGTGACATCCCTACAAGACCAGTCTGCATCTCTTCAAGTTTTAGTTATTTCTTTTGTGTGCAGTTTTTTAAATGACATGTTCTGATTTCTAGCAGGAGATGTGAAAACGTGAGACATTTTTCTACCTTTCGCACTATTTCTTTTGTCAGGGTTTGGTCGTCCTAAGTATTCTTTGTTGGAGCGAGTGGATGGTATTAAGCTGTTTACGGATTCATCTTATGATTATCTGTTTAGCAAAAGGAACTTAATTTTCTTAAGCAATATTAGCATTCACATTACTTGGCACCATTGGCAAAAATTTTTTTTTAAATAAAATAAAATAAACTCCTGGTAGCCAAAATTAAATGTAAACATATCCTTTTTTTAAGTAATGTTACTCTGCCTTTTCTCCTAAGTCTAAATACAGTAGCTCTTTTTTTATTTTTTTTTTGCAGTTTAGTCATGCTTTAGCAAAATGTTCTTCTAAAGAACATTTAAAATAAAGTACTCTTATAGTGAAATAAAGTTTTTTTTGTTTCATTTTACAGACCATAGCCACTAATGCTTTGCTTGTGTTCATTTCTTTTTTCTTGATTTCATGCACATATCTCTTTGTTTTAATATATACAATATATACAAACAATACATCCACATTTTTCTTGCTCATTCAGACAAAACTATACAAATAATTTTATCTTGCCATGTTATTGACCTTTGTGAATAAAATATTTAGCAATTAATATAATCCCTTTCAAATATTTCTCACTTTCCATCTCTACCTTCTATATATACACAGAAACTGCTCTGTTTGGATGAGATATAGCCAAAAATATGGAATTTACTGGCCAGAACGCAGCACCACGCTGATCTTTTAGGTGGCAAATGTCCAGGCAAGGTTTATGATTCCTCAGAATGACTACACTTCCCAGGGTTACTGGAGAAAGCTACATGCTCTACCGATTCTCTAAGTAACCCCCATTGCACATGAAAGTAAGGCAAAAAAATTAAAGTGCTGAACATGAGAAAAGGGACACGATGAGTCCTCGCAGGTTCCTGGGGGGGGTGGGGGGTGGGGGCGGGGACAAGAAAATAAATCTTCACTCCGGAAGCGGTTTCTCCTCGTTTCCCATGCATTACCCGTTTGCCACGCCCGCCCCTCTGCAAATTTCCACAAGACATTAAAAACCTGCAGATTTTTAAAAAGTTGCATTAAGTGTGCTGTCGAGGTTAAAACAAGAACAAACGAAACAGTGAAGGAAATGAGAACGCACGGACGCAGTAAAGATTGGGGTGATCTAAGCCCTCCACTGACAACGAATCCCGAAGATTCAGCCTCTTGGAAGCCACTGGCAGGTGCGGGAGCAGCGTTCTCGTGTTGCCGGCGCGTCCCCACCGCTTCTTCCCTATATTTTTGGTATAAATATTTGTACAGTTCCACGCGATGTTTGAGTACAGCCCTATGTGAGCGGGAAAGCGGCCGCTTCCCCAGGGGGAGCCTCTTTCCCTTCCTCGCGGCGTCTGGTTTCCCCGCGACCCAACAGAAGATTGAGTTCCATGATGTCTCGCTGATCAAATTAAAAGTTGTCCATGAAAGTGCAAATGCAATGAACAAAACATTCCTGTTAAAATCCTGCAGCTGATCTCTCCAAAACTGCAGAGGGATTGTGTGTGTGTGTGTGTGCGTGTGTGTGTGTGTGCGCGCGCGCTTGTGTGTTGTTGCATGTCTCTGCTAAAAACAGAAATGAAAACAGTCTGAGAAGCAATGTCACATTGCTAAGGGATGCTGCTGTATGTCTTCAAGTTCCTTGGCCTTTTTCAATTCTTTCACTCTGCAAGAGAAACAAAACAGAACACCAGGTGGTAACTATAGAGTGAAACTGACCAAACCCAGGAAAGGGCATTCCCATTCCCTCTAAAGTGAAAAAAAAGAAAAGAAAAGAAGAAAAAGACCATTTGAGGATTGATGCCAAAAGAACCCGTTTAACTGCTGGGGGACATACTCCAGAGGAAGGGGGGCCCTTCCTGAACCCCAGCTCTGCCGCCACCTGCTCCCAACACAAAGCAGAACCGAAACCCACTTCACGAATCGAGCGCAACAGTCACGTGTGCGTCTCAGACGATGTTAACTGTTCAAACAGCTTTCTTCTCGGCCCGGTGGACACCATGAGCGCCCTGTAACTCCAGGTGACGCAAGTTAGGGGACCTGCACACGCCTCTATACGGGTGCGGCCTGGCCTAGGAAACCAGCTGCCTTTGCTCACAGACTCAAGGTTGTCAGAGGTCGCATCCCTGAGCTCACCCCAGGGGCGTCTGGTGTTCATGTTCCTGACGCGCTTCCCAGAGGAGATGTTCTGGTCACCGCCCCCTGCTCCCAGGGGGGCAGTCATAGGGGGCAATGCACGTAAGGGACTTGGTTCCAGGTGTTCCACATGGTGTGCTAACCACATGCAAATGCAACTGTTACAGAGTCCTGGGAAGCTGGTATCAGCAAATGATTGGTTACTGACCACCTCCGGTCTGTTTTCATGTAAACACTCGCCGTGGTGTTTTAGCGGGGCCCGATGAGGTACCGGGGCAGAGGCCGTGAGCGCTGAGAAGAGGGCTCCTCACTGACCAACCAAGACCCCGCCGTCACGGCAGAAGGATCCCATGCCGTGACTTGGGGGTCTAGCCTCCCAGGCCGGTGACCGCCTCGGGCGTGACGGGCAGCTCGCAGCCCCGTGTGCCCCATGGTAACATCTGCTTCCCTAACGCGGGAGAGGCGACTGCGGCCAGCAGAGGGGCGGCTTCCCAGGGCGCGGGGCTGTACTTGCACAGCCTGGCGGGAAGTCTGGCTGGTCTGTCTGACACGCGCCTTTCGGACCCGGACCTCTAACAGGGAGGTCAGTAATCCCACACAGTGTCAGTTCTCGGAGTGTCATGCCTCTCCTGGGACCTGCAGTTCTATCAGCACATTTACATTTCACTGCAAAGCAAATGCTAGTTTACTTTCTGAATAAATTCGAGCGGGCAGAAAACGTTCTGGAAACCCCGTGGGGAGGAGACATTCGAAACCCCGCGGTGAGTTAGCCAGGCGTCTGTTACAGAGGTGGCGCGTCTGCTGGGACAGCCGTTCAAGACGACGGTTCTATTTACCGCCTCCGCGCAGAACCGCTTCTCAGGGAAGACGCTCCCATTGTACCGTCATTAATACGAAAGGGCAGGACAGCAGTGGCCACCTCGCTGGTCTGATTAGCTGCTGCATTCAGCGAGCCCAGCTCGACCAAACCGTGGATCTTCAAGACGGTTAAATCCCTTTCTTAACAGGCACATTTAGAAATCGTTGCTGTGTTCACAACTGCACCCAGGCATTACTTAGTTTTAAATTTTGTAAGGAAATATACCGTGGGTTGTGAAGTGTCCGGGTAACCTGGGTATGGCCACACAGAGGGGCGCATCGTTCTAGGCCCTGATTTTGGACATGCAGACTCGATCAGTCGGTGGCGTTTTAAAAATTGAAACATGCTAGAGTCTGGGTTCAATTTTTAAACATGCAACGTCTATACTAGCAGCTCTTTGGCTGGAGAAATGCAAGGCATGCAGCGATGCCACGTGTCCTTCCGGGCATGCAATTGTCTGCGCCTGCGCAGACCTCAGGTGCTGAGTTAGGGCAAGATGTGCATGCTGCTTCGAGTGCTACACTGTATCTCTGCGCTCCCGCAGGCCTCATTCACAAATATGCACCTGACTCCAGCGCCGAGGAGACCTCTAGAGGGAGAATTCTTAACTCCAAATCTGACAGCATAAACCAAAGACAGCCGTTCCCGCGTTTTCTAGAGGGACACAGGGATGCTTTAAAAATACCCAGTTCCTCATCGAGATGAGATGAAAGGAGAGTGAAGTATAACCAGAAACGTTTTACAGTTTCATACGAAAGAATCTGTCGTCAGCTGGTCACGACGGGTCTAGCCTGAACAGTTTTCTTAGTTAAAATGGCCATGTTTGTGTTGCAGTTTCTTTCTGAAATAATTAAAAAGCCAGCTACGTTTTCATAAGGTTTTTAGGTTGCCATGTAAATACTCTGCTATGAAACGAGTGACTGCCTTGCACACCGCTAAGGGCAGAGATGGCTACGGTGGTTGACAAAGGAAAATCAGACACAGAGGTCGTCCGACAGTTTCAGATCCATCTAACTCCCGAGCTAATGTGGAGAATTCGTTCTTAGCTTCGTGCTGAGGTGCGCAGACACTGGCATTGTGGCATCGAAATGTCTCAGGTAGCCGGGCTGTGGTGGCTCAATGGATTGAGCGTCGTCCCATGGACCAAGAGGTCCTGGGTTCGACTCCCAGTCAGGGTACACGCCTGGGTTGCGGGTTCGATCCCCAGTAGGGGGTGTGCAGGAGGCAGCCGATCAATGAGTCTCTCTCATCATTCCTGTTTCTCTCTCTCTCCCCCTCTCCCTTCTTCTCTTAAATCAATAAAAAAAATGACTCCGGTATGTTTTTAAAAACAGGAAGTCATTGAGGGAGGACTTTCGGGAAAAGGGAAGAGAACACTTATGTTCCAATAGCTCAGGGGTGGGCAAACTTTTTGACTCGAGGGCCACAATGGGTTCTTAAACTGGACCGGAGGGCCGGAACAAAAGCATGGATGGAGTGTTTGTGTGAACTAATATAAATTCAAAGTAAAAATCATTACAGAAAAGGGTACGGTCTTTTTTTTTTTTTTTAGTTTTATTCATTTCAAACGGGCCGGATCCGGCCCTCGGGCCGTAGTTTGCCCACGGCTGCAATAGCTGCACAGGTGACTTAAAACTTGTTACCTTCTCTAGTCCTCATGACACCACCTTCTCCCCAGTTTGTAAATGGACAGCATGGGATTGATGGACGTGAGCAGCTGCCCCGTTAACCGATGCTCCAGTTAACAGACGGCAGTGCAGGGGTTCGAGGCCACCTGCTGCCTCCAGGATCTCAGGATAACAAAGAAGTGTTTCTCAGGTTCTTACTTTATTGGTTTTCCCCCAAACACTTGATAGAAGACGCATCTGGAAAACGTCCCTGGCCTGAGAGAAGTGTGTTGTTGAAAACCGATGACAACAATCGCATTTTCCCATTCTCAGATGTCGTCCTCTGTATGACCCAGTGGTGAGTTTATTCCAACGTTTTAGAGAGAAAAAGTACCTCCCCATCAAATGCACGTGCCGATTTCTCAACACAGATTCGAAACGTGCAAAGAGTGGGCCGAAGGATCGGGAATGGAAAGATTTTTGGCCTCGTGCTCCAAGCTGCGATGTGGAGCCCCCGCTCAGGCCCTCACAGTCTGCCCTACGGGGACCCGGATGGAGTCGCATGGGAACGGAGGGCATTGTCCGGGTAAGAGACGTGTCTGATTGTTTTGTTTCCAATCAATTATCAATCCAATAAAGTATGTGTGAATGTCACACTGTCTCCAAAGACACAGAAGACAATGAGTTCTCTTACTGGAGTGGTTTAGAACAACACCCGATACTGTCATTTTTTGTTAACGAATTCTAGGGAATAGAGGTTTCAAATCAGAGTGTTTCCCATGGTTACAGGAACTTGTTGTTGGTTCGTCTTAGCCAAGTTACAAATAATCCCTAAAACGCACAGGTCAGCTAAAACCCTACCGACCACAGTAAGGACACACAACAGTAGTCCCACAGTCACCATCTCGGGGAGAGTCTACTTGCTTACTCGTATTTCCGAGCTAGAATGAGTGGGAAACTCAGGGAGAGAGAGGTCTGGCCGTTTTCCAGAAAGCCCATTGGATCGCAAAACCAAAGAGCCGGCGAGGCCCAATAAGGAGGACCCAGAGCAGGTGTCTGTGCTCCAAACAGGTCCCTTCCCCAGAAGAGGCAAGTGAGATGACCTTGAGGCTGAAACGCCCCCCACGGTGACATATCCCCATCCAGAGCCTCGGGCCCCTCAGAAACCGGCTCTCATCAGCTGCGACCAGGGAAGTGGGAGCGCCCACTGCAGCCTGGGCCCCGCTCCCTCTCGGCTGAACGGCCCCCCTGCCAGGCGTTGCTGGAGGGCGGCCCTCGCAGAGAAGCACGTGTAACAGTGCAGAGTAGCAGCAGAACGCAGGGAGGACCCGCCCGGGGCACCTCGCAGGGCGTCGGCTCTCGGTTAGTTGCCTAGGTAACGGCAGCATCTGCCAAGTCAAGTGTTTGGAAACCCAGTCATCAAATATAGAGAAAAATGTGTGGCCTAAAAATGTGTGTCCGGGCCGGGGTGGCTCGGAGGCTGGAGGCTGAGAATCGACCCAGGAACCAGGAGGTCAGGGTCTGATTCCCGGTCAGGGCACCTGCTGGGGTTTCGGGCTCCATCCCCAGTGGGAGGCGTGCAGAAGGCAGCCGATCCATGGTTCTCTCTCATCACTGATGTTTCTGTCTCTCTATCCCTCTCCCTTCCCCTCTCTCTCTCTCTCTCTCAAAGGAAATATCAAAAACAAATAAATAAATAAAAATGTGTGCCCAAGAAGTGTGATCTTTTCTTCCTCCAACTGGGGTTCCTTTATCCCAGTGGGACAGCGCCACCCACCTTCACTGACGTCACTCAGCCAGCGGTTTCCCCACCCACCTTCACTGACGTGGTCACTCAGCCAGCGGTTTCCAGGAAGAGACGGGGTAGGGCCCCGAGCGCCCGCTGCCTGTAATGACCTGCAGTGACTGTAATGACCTGCAGTGACTGACTGTAATGACCTGCAGTGACTGCCTGTAATGACCTGCAGTGGCTGTAATGACCTGCAGTGACTGCCTGTAATGACCTGCAGTGCCTGTAATGACCTGCAGTGCCAAACTGTAATGACCTGCAGTGACTGACTGTAA